CGATGGATTTTAATTGCGCAAAAGGCCCGGCATCAGATCACATCCCCAGTGGACCCTGTATCCCTGGTCCGCAGCCCGACCATCTGAGGAGGCCTGGAGAAGCAGAAGGTAGGGCCCTGGCCACTGCAGCAGTGGTATGGGGTGCATCCCACAGACAAATTCCACAGCAGCCCAGAAAGTCGGTCTCCTGGGCCCTGGGAACATGCTCCCATACCCTCCCATGTCACACCTTCAACTCCACCTCCCTGCTAGTCCCACCCAGTCCCAGCTTCCCAACCCCAAGCCACTCCCTAGGTCTCAGCCTTGACCCCAAGTCCCTGCCCATTTCTGAGGCCAAGGGAGGTGGGGACATGATTTTGGATAGGCACCTTGGGGGTAAGGACCACAGCAGAGCCCCCGCTGATGCTGAGGATGGGCACGTGAGTCTGGGAGGAGACGAAGTCCAGGAGCTGGGCCACTGCCTCAGTGCCCACGTTGTCCTCAAAGACGATGCCGTGGACACGGGAAGCACCCAGGAGTCCACAGACGTGGGTGAGGAGGCTGCTGGGGTTGGTGTTGTTGACTCCCACAGTGAGTGGCTGGATGTTCAAGGGCAGGTCCAGGAAGCTCTGGGGGGTGAAGCGGGTGCGGGCCTGGGCCTGTGGTGGCCCTGAGCTACCAAATACCACAGCCACTGTCACAGTCTGGTCACCTTGCCCTGGGCCCGGCCTTGCCCAGGCACCCAGGAGCGAGGCAAGCAGCAGGGCTGGCCCCAGGGCCCTACCCATGTCCACTGGAGGGTCCTGTAGAAACACCAGGATAGGCACGGAGAGAGGCAGATGGACAAACAAACAAGAGATGAGGGTGAGGGGCAGAGGACACATATCCAGACAGGGACAGGGAAGGGGAAGACACCTCCCTCCACAAAGAGAAGTGCAGACAGACACAGAGACAGAGAAAGAGACAGGTTAGCTGAGTGCCCCCAAGTCAGTGGAGGGGCAAGGGCTGGGGGAGAATGGGGGCCAGGACAGCGGCTCACCGCCCCCCATTCTACCATTAACAGCATGTTCAGTGAGAAAGGCCCAGCCTTGCGAAACCCAGCCTTCCAGGCTGGGGCACTGAACATGCCAGCAAGGTGTTCAAGTGCATTGCATGCAAGGTGTGGTGTGTGTCACGGTGTTCAAGGTCAGACAGACCTGAATGCAAGTCCCAGATCTGATAGAGCACCTGTGTGGCTCTTGGGGCAGTCACCCAGCCCCTCTGAGCCAGGTTTTCTTGCCTGAGCTAATCACAGGCTCTATCTCACAGCAGAGACTCCCTGCTTTCCTGTGGGTGACAGCCCCTCAGCTAGATGAAGGAAGGGAGCACTGTGACAGTCCACACCCACCCAGCCCCCTCTACAGTTGAAACGGGATCTTCTATCTGTCCCTCACCAGAACATATGCCACAGAGCCAACCCCGGGACTCTCCCCTGTATGGCTCAACCCGGCAGACACTGTCCTGCGTCCTCCTCGGCACTGGATATCACCACCACGACCCTTCCCACTGGCTCAGTTAGGAGCAGCTCTCCCCAGCAGTGAGGCAGCCCCAACCTGCCTAGGGCTCGGAGCACGTGGAACCCTGAGCTGACTCCCAGTCCATCACTGGTACTGGGATCTTTCTAACCTAACATCAGAGAATAAAATAAATCGATAAAAAGAGCTGGGGATGTGGCTCAGTCCCCACTACAGGAAGGAGGGAGAGAGAGACTTGAGTCTCACTAGGTCACCAGGTGGCATGCAGCCCCTGGCCCAGCCACTCCTTCCCCTGGCCTCCTCCGTCTCATCTGACCTCCCTCCTGCCCAGCCTCCTTTCCCACTGGGCTGCTGAAACTTTCCTCTGCCCCTGAGTGCCCCCCCACAAGCAGGACAGCTGCTCCCTGATGCCCATAATGAAGTCCGGACACCTTAGTCTCAGGTACAGGGCCCCCACTCGGCTCCAACCTACTGTCTTCTCTTTCACGGACCTCCAGCCCTGCCCAGCCAGGGACCACACAGGCCCACTGTCCCTGTAGAGCCTGGATCCTATCTTTCCCCTGGCTGGATCACTCTCTTCCTAACAAAATTCTACTGTCCTCTAGAGTCCAACCTGCCTAGGCTCCTGCCTTGACCAGCTCTGTCCCCAGTACCACACCCTGGGAACTATAAGCTGGACTCCTGCAGTGACCTCTCCACTGTGCCATGTGGCAGGAAGTTACCCAGCAAGATGTCCCCTCCCTCACCGGACTGGAGCTCCTTGAGAGCAGTGACGTTGTCTTAGAGCCCTCTGCTCACCCACTCTGGCCTCCTTTCCTTCACAAGTGGCCATTATAGAAATGTTTGTTAAACACCTGGGTCCCAAAAAGACTAAGGGAGAGGGTCACAGTGGTCAGTCCCCAGGAACACTGCATACTAAAGGGCCTCAGGCCTCCACACACTTAGGACCCTTCTGTCCCCCGGGAGCTCCCCACATCTCTGGCAGGCTCCTCAAATACAGGACACTGATGCATCACCTCTCCCAGATCTGGAGCTCTGGACCCAGGGGCCACCCCTGTCCCTTGGTGAGAGACTCCCGAGCAGAGGCCCTGGACCACTGCCCTTAACAAGTGGCCCCTCCCCTGCCGTCGGGTCTCCCTCCCTTCCTCCCTCTCCCCTGCCTGGCTAAAACCTGAACCCAGACGCTAGGAGAGACACTGCCCCTCCATCTTGCCCCATATGTGGGGGCCCCGAGTTCTGGCTCCTCCAAGACTAACTGCCCCCGCTCCGGCGGATCCCGCTCGGGCCCCCTCCCCTCCGCAGGAATCTCTTACACTCGGGCTGTGAAGTTCGGGGTATTTTTAGGCCGGCGATAAATAATTCATAGGGAACGTGGCATCAGGCTGCCCCGGCGGGAGGAGGGGGCGCGAACGGCGAAAGCCACCGTCACCCGCGGCTCAAGGACTCCAAGACTAACTGCCCCCGCTCCGGCGGATCCCGCTCGGGCCCCCTCCCCTCCGCAGGAATCTCTTACACTCGGGCTGTGAAGTTCGGGGTATTTTTAGGCCGGCGATAAATAATTCATAGGGAACGTGGCATCAGGCTGCCCCGGCGGGAGGAGGGGGCGCGAACGGCGAAAGCCACCGTCACCCGCGGCTCAAGGACACTCGCGATGCGCGATGCGGACCGCTGCAGCCTAGCCGAGCTCACCTAGCAGGAGACGCTGCAAGCCAAGTCTCCGCGCAGGATACCCTCGTGTAGGAGCGAATCCAGGAGTGCAGTTTCCTGCCTACCTGTCCCTTTCCCGCTCTTATTCTTCCGAGTTTAGGAACAGGCTCAGAGCCACCTCCACCAGGTCCTGGATCGGCTCCAAAATATATCCACCCTGTCCAGATAAGCGTTCCTCGATTTTCCCGTGGCCGGGTGTCTGTGTTCGAGTCAGGACGGGGCCACCATCCAAGGGCTGGGGGACAGGATCAGAAGTCCCGGAGGGCGAGCAGGGCTGGGAAACACGGTGGACAATGGGGGCAAGCATTAGGCCCATCTGGAATTCACCCCTCGTTCACACAGCAGGGACTTCAAAGGGTCGCCAGGAGCACCCTCGGGGATTTCAGGTTGCAGGGCTACCTTTACTGTCGTATCCCAGTCCTGCCCACCGAGGCCTTGATATAAAACACCCTTGGCAGCAGAAGATGCCAGCTTCTGCTCCCAACCATCGGGGACCCTGGTCCAAGCTAGGAAACCAGGGTGACCCGGGGTGCCAGGCCCAGGGCACCAGTGGCTCAGGGGTCCCCAGCCCACTCAGCCCATCCCTCCTCTCCAGCCCTCGGAGCCTGGGTCCCGGGCGTGGAGAAACCTCTGGAAGATCCCAGAAGCCCACCTTGATCCCCTGAGGCCAGAGGCGGGATCCTTTTCCGAGGCTTTGAGAGGAATGGGAGCCGGGAGGGGAGGGCCTGGGGGACTCACTAGCTGTGGCAGGGGTCTGAACGGCAGGTGTGAGCCGCAGGTGCCGAGAGAACACCGGGGAACCAGGGCACCGGGATCCCGGCACTGACACAGCCCCCTTTCGCCCTCTGGCTGCGCGCCCTCTCCAGCCGCCCACGCTCGGGTAGAGCCCAGCCCCAGCTCCAGGTCGAGGCCCGGCCCGCTCTTTATCCCAGAAGCTTCCAACAGCAACAGTTGGGGACCCGGCTGCCCGGGGAACCGGCAGTCCAGACTCCCGCGGCCCCGCGCCGCCCCCTGCCCAGCAGTGTCGCTCCGCCACGCGAAGGGGAGGAGGACTAGGCGACCCAGGGGACAAACGTCTTGGGCGGGCGCTTCGCCGCGTCCTTCCCGCGTGTCCGCTGCGAGTCTATCTCCCGGCCTCTCTTCCCCGCCTCCTCTCCTCCACCCACCGGGGTCCAAAGCCCAGGCCGGGTTCCCAAAGGCCCAGGTCCCCGGGTCCCCTCCCCTGGCTCCGTGCGCGGGCCACTCTCCCTGGGTGCCCCGCGTCTGTCTGAGGCGTTCTTTCCTGCGCGGCGCCCCGGACCAGCCCCAAGTTGGCGACGAAGTTGGCGCTCCGGGCTGGC